TGTCCTGTCAATTTAAATAACTATCTTAGAACATTTGATGAATTTTTTGAATCTTTCTTTAAATGATTTTCTAACTTATCTACCGAAAAGTCAGCCAAAGTAATAACCTTTAGGATTTTCTCTAAGAAAGTCTTCCTGTTTTTTCCCATCCACCCTTTATCGGTTAAGGCAATAGCTGTATTAGATTCGCCTTCATCTTCATTATTCTTGTTCCATTTCACTAGAGTAGACAATATGAGATCTTGTACGAACGAACTGCGATCAAACCGGCTGTCTTCACCCCTTGAACTCAGTGATATTTCATCCAAAAGTCCAGAAAGCAGAAAATTAGATGGTGGAGGTGGTATAGGTGTTGCATTTGCATTTGCAGTCTGAGACGTAGATGGGGTCGGATTTAATATTAGTGTGGATGAAAGAGAAGTACCAATGCCTCCATTACTCCCCCCTGTAGAAGAACTTTCCCTTAAAGCATTTTGATTTTGAATTTGACGTCTTGGTAAACGCTCTAACTGCTGACGTGCAGCATTCACCTGCTGACGTTCAAGTTGCAGTTGCATTTGCAGCTGCTGCAACTGTGTTGGAGTACTGGAACTAGTGTTACTTGCTGAGCGTCGTACTCCTGACAACTGGGACAGAAGTTCAGCTATAGGATCTACTGTTTCGCGAGACGATGGAGATAAAGATGTCAATCCTGCAGAGCTGAAAACACTAAAAGTGCGTGTGACTTTCTTTTACAAAGTCTTGGTTGTAACTTACATAAAATTAAACTTTTTTTCTGTTTTCTATATTCTAATTTAAAAAAGCAATAAATTGAAATACCTGAAATGCATATTAGAGCGACGTGGCCTGGAACACTGCCCTCCTCTTCCACTACTCAGATGGTGTGGAATACGTCTCATATTATGAGCACTGTGAGTTCTACCAACTGGTTCATCTAAGAAAGAGATAAGATCTCTTGGTCCAGTACGATGCTCTAACATAAGATGTCCAGCAAAATCATCTGTCATCAGATTTGGCTCTCCTCCTGGCATAGCAGCACAAACAGGACAAACCTGCAATTAAACATATAGCACGCATTTCTTATTTACATAATTCTAATAGTAAATATTTACATACCACTTCAAACGAAGTATCGGCATGGTCAGTAGTGACATGCTCTTGCAAAGAAGTATCAGTAAATCCCATTCGAGAACAATATGGACAAGTATATGATTGAGGTTGATCTATATTAGTAAGAGCCTCACCACCATAATATAATTCTGTAAAAATCCAAATTTACAATTGTTAAATAACTTAGTTTATGTATTACCATAATCAGTACGGGTTAAGATGCACTGCATTGGATGGTCTACATTGTGCCTTGTATTGGTGGCACCAGCTTCATAACAAGCAGCACACAAATCGTAATCATAGCAAATAAGACATTTATATCTTCGCCCTCGAAAATTCCCCTTTAAGCATGAATCGCAGCTCACACCTTGAAATTGATGAGAAATTAGGACTCAAATTTTGACTAATAATATTTTTGTTTTAGCTAAAAGTCTATTATATTTTAAAACTATAAAAGACTTATGTCACTTATTTATGACATTTTCCAAACGATATTTTAACAGTATTCATTCTATTTCCAACACATACCTTCATGACGACTCATATCAAACGTTTTTAAATGTTTGCAGTACTTTATAAGAAAACTACAACATAATTAGTTGTAATCGAAGTTCTTAATTAATGTATAAATAAATGTACATTTGGGATTAACAGATTTTGCTTGTACTCGCGACTTTTTTTGGATATTGTAGATTATTTTAGGATCTTTATTAAAAAATGATCTAATGCTAAAGTAAAAACCATAAAATGGAATGATTACTACAGCAGAAAGTAGAAGTCATTACCGTTGATGTCTACATAACAGCACAAGTAAAATACAACATTATTTTTAGACATTTTGAATTCAGATTTTAATTATTAAACAAAATTAAACAGTATTGCTAATTTATACATGAAATATTACCGTGTTCTGACCATGAAGAAACGATGGAAGAGGAAGAACTATCCTCAGAGGAATCTGAGGAGTCAGACATTGAAACACACGTTCCTTTAAACTATATTTCGTTTTTAGAATAAGACGATGTAAATTAAATTTGTTAAACAAATTTTATTTACAACATCTCCATGTCAACAAAACGGTCACTAGTTTATACATTTACTAAAAGTAAAGAAACAATTGCCTTCTAATGTTTATTATAAATAAAGTTTTGTAAATTATTAATAAGTATTACTTTATGTGCGGCCCGCCAAAAAATTTTAACATTTAAAAAGGTTGCTCACCCTTGCTTTAGATGATCCGTTTACCCTTAGGGAAGTCATGGGAAAGATCAGTTTTAGGAGGGGACAGTGTCAGGCATAGGCAACCCACCATACGTGAATAAGCGTCAAGAGATCGATAGTGTGCGATATAGTAGTAGACGAGTGATTAATTAATACATTAATAGTAATAGAATAAAGATTAATTAATTAAATAAAATTTAGTAATAGTGCTAAAGGTGTTCTTTATTAGAGAACTGAACTCTATAATTTTGTATCATAATCTATGTGAAGTCTCATTTGTGAAAATTTGCCTTTAGGCTCTGATTTATCTACATACAAAGGAATTAAAAGTTCTATACCATTTTTCGAAAATTTNTACCTTCATGACGACTCATATCAAACGTTTTTAAATGTTTGCAGTACTTTATAAGAAAACTACAACATAATTAGTTGTAATCGAAGTTCTTAATTAATGTATAAATAAATGTACATTTGGGATTAACAGATTTTGCTTGTACTCGCGACTTTTTTTGGATATTGTAGATTATTTTAGGATCTTTATTAAAAAATGATCTAATGCTAAAGTAAAAACCATAAAATGGAATGATTACTACAGCAGAAAGTAGAAGTCATTACCGTTGATGTCTACATAACAGCACAAGTAAAATACAACATTATTTTTAGACATTTTGAATTCAGATTTTAATTATTAAACAAAATTAAACAGTATTGCTAATTTATACATGAAATATTACCGTGTTCTGACCATGAAGAAACGATGGAAGAGGAAGAACTATCCTCAGAGGAATCTGAGGAGTCAGACATTGAAACACACGTTCCTTTAAACTATATTTCGTTTTTAGAATAAGACGATGTAAATTAAATTTGTTAAACAAATTTTATTTACAACATCTCCATGTCAACAAAACGGTCACTAGTTTATACATTTACTAAAAGTAAAGAAACAATTGCCTACACAGATTTAAAAATTGCGCGCGTTTTATAAAAAAAAAATTAAACTAATCCATTTTATGACATTAATAAGTAAGTATTCACCTTTTTTCATTTTAATACGATATACAGATTCGATTTGATTGCTATTATAATACATAACTTTGTAATTTTGGTTGAATTCTTACGACTGTAGATCAAAAAATCTTATAAAGATATATAATTCACAAGAGATCACGGGAAAATTGTTTGCATAATATCATACACTAGTATGCAATTTTCAAAGAGAGTTATCACCTTTTGAAAAATATGATGTGATATGGTGTTAGTAAATTAACAACTTACTTTACAAACTTAAAAATAAATAATGCATGCTGATTTTTCAAAGCTACTGTAAAATTATGCATTTTCGCTCGTACGACAAAAACAGAAAAAATGGCCACAAAGAAATGAACAATTTTTATATTCAGCGAACTTTACCTACATACAAGTCGGAAGGCATGAGGATAATGCTAAAAGTATATAAATAATTTAAAAAACGAAAAAAATATAATGTTGATTTATTCAAAGTTATACATTACAATTAAACAAAAGTAAATTCAGCAATTAACGGGACAAAGGGTGAAAATTACAACATGAATTTCATTAATAGATAGATATACATATTATATGTAGGTACATACCATTTATTGAAATGAATAATTACCATTTAGTAAATGCTAAGAAAAAAAACTGCTTAAATTTTACAAATAAATAACAGCAGCAACGTTTTCAAAAGTAACGATGCATCAAACGGCTATCACTATGCTTCCAATAACAAAAAATTAATTTCCATCTCTAAATATATACAAATAATTTTTATTTTGTCCTGTCAATTTAAATAACTATCTTAGAACATTTGATGAATTTTTTGAATCTTTCTTTAAATGATTTTCTAACTTATCTACCGAAAAGTCAGCCAAAGTAATAACCTTTAGGATTTTCTCTAAGAAAGTCTTCCTGTTTTTTCCCATCCACCCTTTATCGGTTAAGGCAATAGCTGTATTAGATTCGCCTTCATCTTCATTATTCTTGTTCCATTTCACTAGAGTAGACAATATGAGATCTTGTACGAACGAACTGCGATCAAACCGGCTGTCTTCACCCCTTGAACTCAGTGATATTTCATCCAAAAGTCCAGAAAGCAGAAAATTAGATGGTGGAGGTGGTATAGGTGTTGCATTTGCATTTGCAGTCTGAGACGTAGATGGGGTCGGATTTAATATTAGTGTGGATGAAAGAGAAGTACCAATGCCTCCATTACTCCCCCCTGTAGAAGAACTTTCCCTTAAAGCATTTTGATTTTGAATTTGACGTCTTGGTAAACGCTCTAACTGCTGACGTGCAGCATTCACCTGCTGACGTTCAAGTTGCAGTTGCATTTGCAGCTGCTGCAACTGTGTTGGAGTACTGGAACTAGTGTTACTTGCTGAGCGTCGTACTCCTGACAACTGGGACAGAAGTTCAGCTATAGGATCTACTGTTTCGCGAGACGATGGAGATAAAGATGTCAATCCTGCAGAGCTGAAAACACTAAAAGTGCGTGTGACTTTCTTTTACAAAGTCTTGGTTGTAACTTACATAAAATTAAACTTTTTTTCTGTTTTCTATATTCTAATTTAAAAAAGCAATAAATTGAAATACCTGAAATGCATATTAGAGCGACGTGGCCTGGAACACTGCCCTCCTCTTCCACTACTCAGATGGTGTGGAATACGTCTCATATTATGAGCACTGTGAGTTCTACCAACTGGTTCATCTAAGAAAGAGATAAGATCTCTTGGTCCAGTACGATGCTCTAACATAAGATGTCCAGCAAAATCATCTGTCATCAGATTTGGCTCTCCTCCTGGCATAGCAGCACAAACAGGACAAACCTGCAATTAAACATATAGCACGCATTTCTTATTTACATAATTCTAATAGTAAATATTTACATACCACTTCAAACGAAGTATCGGCATGGTCAGTAGTGACATGCTCTTGCAAAGAAGTATCAGTAAATCCCATTCGAGAACAATATGGACAAGTATATGATTGAGGTTGATCTATATTAGTAAGAGCCTCACCACCATAATATAATTCTGTAAAAATCCAAATTTACAATTGTTAAATAACTTAGTTTATGTATTACCATAATCAGTACGGGTTAAGATGCACTGCATTGGATGGTCTACATTGTGCCTTGTATTGGTGGCACCAGCTTCATAACAAGCAGCACACAAATCGTAATCATAGCAAATAAGACATTTATATCTTCGCCCTCGAAAATTCCCCTTTAAGCATGAATCGCAGCTCACACCTTGAAATTGATGAGAAATTAGGACTCAAATTTTGACTAATAATATTTTTGTTTTAGCTAAAAGTCTATTATATTTTAAAACTATAAAAGACTTATGTCACTTATTTATGACATTTTCCAAACGATATTTTAACAGTATTCATTCTATTTCCAACACATACCTTCATGACGACTCATATCAAACGTTTTTAAATGTTTGCAGTACTTTATAAGAAAACTACAACATAATTAGTTGTAATCGAAGTTCTTAATTAATGTATAAATAAATGTACATTTGGGATTAACAGATTTTGCTTGTACTCGCGACTTNAAAGATAGCAAATTCTTCTTTTAAGACTATTAAGAAATTCAAATAAATTATTCGTTAGAGTTCAAATAACATCTGAAAATGGAAAATCACATCGTACTTGAAGTAGGAACTAGTATCAATATTAAACGAACTGATGGTATGTTAAATATTTTTAGTTGATGATTTTCGTTACTACTTGCACATCAAAAACAGTCCATTTATCTCAATGTATTTCTTATTGTTTTAATTCAATGTATTATAATTCACAGACCTTCTTCATTTTATTTCAATAGCATGCCTAATATGTTCTAAAGTTGCAGCTGATTCACCATTCTTATTTTCTTCTAATGATTTATATGTATATATTTATTTAACACTATCACAAACGAACCGTTTGAAACCGATATTTCTCATGATTAACATTTAAGTTCGCTAAATTTTAATTTGCTTCAATTAAATGTATATAAATGTATTTGCTGTATAATATATATACATATTAAATACGTACATACACACATACATTTATGGCATACAATAAATGTATCATTTGCAAAAAAAATACAAGTAGGGGAGCACATATTTTAAGAAAATAATGTTAAAGAATACAGAACTCAAATAAATCAAGGACAGTGATGAGTGATGTCAGACCTATTTGAAAAGCTATTATTCAATTTCTTTTACTAGGAGACATACTTTCAGTATAATACTTAACTACTTTCCGATTTGTGATAATAAATAACAGTATTTTGGTAACTTTATCTCAAATCTGAATGATTACTTACTATAGCAACCTTTCTTATATGAAGACATGCACCTCTAACAAACGATAGGTAGTTATGTACCTATCTAAGTCTATTATAAATAAATACAATAATTTGCATTTCATTAACGATAAATGAATAATTTTGTATTTTCGCTTAACTTTTTAATAAAACCATACGAAAAACACTAATGTGAATAGAAAAATTATCAATCTATCATTACTGCTGCATCATTCTTTCTTATGTTTATGAATTCGTATATATATTTGTTATTTGCGTATATGCATTTCATCTGAGGATATCACCAATGTCTGCTCCTCTTTTTTTCACAGTGACGTAACTTGGTGTAGGTTTTTGGGCTTATTGATACCTTATATAGTTTGTGTACTGAACAAGGTCAAACCACCTACAGATTCTTCAAAATATTCTCTAAGATTACGCTTATATTATTTAATTGACGAATAATTACACATGTATCCATAATGTCATTGTTTATTTGCTTTTACATTGGTGTTGATTTTTCTACCTTTCTTGTGTTTTTAATTTTCACAACGTGTTATAATGTATATTTTGATTATCATCTTTATGTGCATGATTATCATAATAAGTAAGTCAGATATTTTGTTGTAAGCAATCCAACTTTTCTATTAAAAAAAATTTATTTTAAAATTCAGTAACATCATAATGAGACAAAACTTTATATTCTATAAATATATAAAAGAAGTTGTAAAATTTAATTTTAGGTCGTATACATTCTGCGTTCGTGGCCGGTATTAATTATCAACTAAATAGCGCAACTGTAGAATGGTTTGAACAAGGAGAAACTAAAGGAAAAGAAATTGACTTTAACATTATAGAATCTCTTAATCCAAACGTTTCCATAACCAAACCTGAGACTATAATCATCGAGGATACACCAGTGAAAACAAATGAAGTATTGAAAAACACCGGACTTTCATTTGCACACTGACAAGTGCAATGATTTGATAAATCAGTTAAAAGAGTGTCATGAAAATGTAAGATTTTTGTTTATAATAATTTGCATGTAACTAAAAGTTGTAACGATTACAGAATATATTCCGTAAATTTTTTGGATATTGTAATAGTGAAGATAAATTAGTAATTGCTTGCTTGAAAGAAGAAAGATTACAAAGAAGAAATGCAAATTATAAGAAGTCTTTAGAGAGAAAAGCTAGGTTATGGACAACTTTTTCTGAAGAATCCCAAAAAGAACATAAAACTACTTGAAGTAATTAAAAATGGATTTTGTTGACATCATGGATTCTATTAATGTAACAAGTGATGAATATTTAAGTGTAGCAGATAGATATTATACTGTAAAATATTGTACAGATTATAGTACAGAAGAAAATAATTTAGACCATTGCATTAGTTTTCACACAAATCGAATATGCTTAATATCTTTGGCAGAAAAACATCCGATAATAAAAGACAGGAAGCAAATACTGAAAATTGATAGTGTAGTAGGTAATATAGATCGATTAGAGAACAAATCATCAGGAAAGGCAAAGCATGGAGCACAAAAGTTAAATCCCAATTCCATTCTTTGTTATATACATTGCAGTGATGGGTCATCATATCCAGTTTACAGTTGCATTAAAGGGAAACTTTTAGAAATAAATAAAAATATATTCAAAAACCCTCAGCTAATTATAGAAAAGCCAAGATCCCAGGGTTATATTGCTCTAATATTGCCTTATTTAGATTCATTCACTCAAATTAAAGACTCTATGATGTCAAATGAAAGTTACTGTAAATAATATATGTTCAAATGTGTCCATTTTAATATATTTGGTAAATTAAATATTCACATTTTTATTTAAATTCTTCCTAAGTATCCCTACAATTTCAAATAGTTCATATAATATACTCTATACTCTTAATTACCAATATTGGTAAATTTGATCACTAAAGAGGCAAAACAGCCAATTTAATATCTATAGTATATGTCCATTATATCAGTAATTAATTATAGTGGAAATGACGAAAATTATCGATATTAATATGAAAAGCATAAAAGCAGTTATTATGTATATTATACAAATGAAACTTCTTGTTATTGTAATACAATGATGAAATTAAATTAATTTTCACGTTGCTATAGAGATGTATACCAACAAATTATGTTGCACTGTTATAAAAAAATATTACAAAGAATCAATAACGAGATGATACTAACATTTGCAAAGTGTTACCTTAAATTATNAGAAACTAAAGGAAAAGAAATTGACTTTAACATTATAGAATCTCTTAATCCAAACGTTTCCATAACCAAACCTGAGACTATAATCATCGAGGATACACCAGTGAAAACAAATGAAGTATTGAAAAACACCGGACTTCAACTTCAAAGGGTAATTTTTATCGAAATACTCCATTAAATGAATATAAATATATAATCTCATTCCTTATCGATTTTGCCTTTTATACATGCTGCTAAGGATTCTTCGGGATCGTCAGGAGAAGAGATTAGTTCTACAGTAGGACAGTCATCGCAAATTATACGAAAATTTGATGAAAGCGATGACGATTTTAATAGTAATCAGGTCCTAAACATTAAAGATACATTTAGTATGATACGAAACCTAATTGAAAACTTAAATAAAATCATGCATTGTAGGAATTACGCTTACTTTACTATTAATTAATTTAGTTGTTGACTGTGTGTTGATTAAAAACTATTATTATTCATTACAGAATCCCACACGACAGTCGGTGCAACAAACTTTGCTTGCTTCTACCAGAACTAATGGATCAATAAGAACAAAACAAAATAGATTCACCAACTTTTTAAATTCTGGCCATATTTTAGAACCTGAAAAAAATGAAAAAGAAAAGATTTCTAGTATCCCTCATTCGAAATCAACTGCATCTGTCCCACAGGTTCGTTAGATTGTGATCAGAATGAATAAAATTATCAAGGTATTTTAAAATTAAATGTTTTAGAATTCACGTCGAACCAACGTAGTAAAAGAAGTAGAAAAATTAAAAAAGAATCGAGAAGAACGAAGACAACGTCAGGCTGAAGAGAAGGCTGAAAAAGAAGCGTTTTTACAAATGGCTCCCGGAAATCCGCATTGGGAACTTTTAAACATGATCCAGTATGCATTACAAAAAAATTGAAAAAGAAAATAAAAATAAATAATTTTCTTCCAGAGAATATCGTCGTAGTTTGGACATAAAACCACTCACTGAAAACGACGTGGTTGAAGATCATTTAATTACTGTTTGTGTAAGAAAACGTCCCTTAAACAAAAGAGAATCGACTAAAAAAGAGGTAGACGTTATAACGATTCCTTCGAAAAATCAGCTAATTGTACACGAGCCTAAAAATAAAGTGGATCTGACTAAATATTTAGAAAATCAGCTATTTCGATTCGACTACGCTTTCGACGAAACATGTACCAATGAAGTGGTTTACAAGTCAGTGAATAATAAGTGATACCTTTATTAATAAAAACTACTGAGATTAATTTTATTTCAGATACACTGCCCAACCGCTGGTGAAGACAGTTTTTGAAGGAGGTTTTGCCACTTGCTTTGCTTACGGTCAAACAGGTTCTGGCAAAACGCACACCATGGGCGGCGATTTTGTTGGGAAAAATCAGGACTGTCAGAGAGGCATTTACGCGATGGCAGCTAGTGATGTTTTTCGATTTGCCAACTCCCCAAAATACAGGCACCTTAATCTAGTTGTATCTGCCAGTTTTTTTGAAATTTATTCTGGTAAAGTATTTGACTTGCTTGCTAATAAAGCTAAGCTAAGAATACTAGAAGATGGAAAACAACAAGTGCAAGTCGTTGGACTCACAGAGAAAGTGGTAGTCTCTTCTGATGAAGTTTTGAAACTTATTCAGAAAGGAAACCAAGCTAGAACTTCTGGCCAAACTTCAGCAAACACAAATTCCTCCAGATCACATGCTATTTTCCAAATAATTCTACGTCCGAACAACGCGCTACACAAAGTTCATGGCAAATTCTCCCTTATTGATTTAGCAGGCAACGAAAGGGGCGCAGATACCTCTTCTGCTGACCGACAAACAAGTAAGGATAATTTATATAAATTGAAAAAATAAAATAAAAACATGAATACATATTAATTTTATTATTTATAGGAATGGAAGGAGCAGAAATAAATAAATCACTGTTAGCCTTGAAGGAATGTATCCGAGCATTAGGGCGCAAAGGGTCCCACTTGCCTTTTAGGGTCAGTAAATTGACCCAAGTTTTAAGAGACTCATTCGTAGGACCTAATTCCAGAACTTGCATGATAGCTATGATTTCACCCGGCGTTTCGTCATGCGAACATTCATTAAATACGTTGCGGTATGCTGACCGTGTTAAAGAACTCGGAGCTGGTGACCTTGCAACAGCTCAGGAAGAAGATGGTGCTGATAACGTAAAAAGCAGTGACGGAGACCTTCTACAATTACGATCGTTAAATGTACGGTTAACTGAATTACAATACAGATTGATTTTATAATACAATGTTTCAGGAAAACGATATGACGCCCGAAATGTTAAAGTTTCACGAAGTAATATCAGAACTGCAAATAGCTGAGGACAATATGTTAGACAACCATAAGCAAACGATTGATCAATTGTACACTGCAGCAGATAAGGCTGAGAAGATATTAAAAATGACTGACGAAGTAGATTATGATACGGAAGGTAAATTTAAACATTATTACCAAGAAGACTAGAGATAGTAGAGAAACTAGGGCTGGACGATTATTGAATTTAACAATCGATTGTCGATTGTAAGGAAATTATTGATTATTGCAATTAATCCCAATACGAAATTATCGAAATAATTGATTCTTCATATTCATTTTTAAAAACTGAGAATATTCAATTAACCAATTGCTTTTAATAACTGAAAATAATAGGTTACCTAACCGATTATTAATGGATACCTGCCTACTACCATTCATATGACTGTGAATGAAGATGATTTTGCGCATCCGGTTTGACGCGTAGAAAAAGAAATTATTGTTTACGTTTTGTTAATGTGCACTTGCTTAACGCGCAGCACTATTGTGTTTTCTGTCCTTTATTACCTTTTTTTAGTCGAGGCCAATTTCATATTCGCCTTGGGTGAAGATATTGCTCCTATTTATAGTCTTTTTGATTATTATTGTAACTATTAGACTTCTATTATTTTTAGCCTATTGCAAATCGTGGAATAATATTTTGGATAGTTTGGAAGCCAGCATAAAACAAGCTAAGAATGTGATAAAGGATTATGAACTGAAATTAGCAGTAGAAGAACAGTTATCTCGTAAAACCAAACAGAAGTAATCTCATCCGATAATTTTTTGTTAATTTTAAATGTACAGCGTGTGTTTCGTAATACCTGTTAAAGGAAAAAAGCAAACGAACTTAACATGATTACAGTATTAACTAAATTAAAATGAAAAAATAAACACTACCAACATGCTTATGCTCAAGTTAATCAGTTTTAAGTTGCTCTTGCTTTTGAACACTACTCGCCTGGTATAGATAGCCGTGTAAATTTTTTTATATTAAACTAGAGTGATTTATTCCTTATTATTTTAAGTGATTGTTATTTACCATTTTTGATTAAGCAAAATAAACATTTTTAAATTAAGCTTTAAATACCCTCAGACCAGAGTTATTCCTATAATTGACTTTACTATCCAGTTAACATTTATTTTTACAGTTGTTATAAAATTTATAGAAATAAATCGTTGTGAATTACACATTATCATAACTTCGAATTTTATTAAAGTCTGCAATCAATTTATCTTTGTTTTTCTTTGATCCATCTGTATGTTACACCGAATACGTGTCATTGCCTGAATATATTCGGCAAAATTTTGCCTAATTCATGAAATAAACAATGTGTTAAATAAAATGGTGTTTTAATATATGCACTAGGCAATAAAGTTTGAGAATACGAAAAACAAGCAATCATGCAAACATCTGCTGAGTTTCGCATTAGTTGTTTGTAAAGACTCAATAGACTGATGAAGGTTATAAAAGATAGAATTGTATTATTGCATCTCAAGGAATTTTGTTAAGGTCCACATTTCTGTAAACAAAAAAAAAAGCGAGACTGATAACACATTTAGCTTTAATGTACGCGTATCTATGGAGCCTTTATCACAATTTTGACTTGGTAATCTATGGACGTGGTTTTGACCATGTTTTGACATTGGGTTTTGAGTTATCTATGGTTTTGAAGAAATTCTTTTTGTAATTTGCAATATCATCAGATATCAGACGAAGGTAATCAAATCTAAGGAAAGTAATAAATCAAGAAAATTAACTATAAATTAAACTGAATGTTTGCTTAGACATTCAAACATTACCAAGGAATATAAATCTACCGAAATTCTGTTTATAATGTAACAGCGTGCTTACAGATTCGAGAATTAGAGTTAGTTTATGATTAGAACGCGCCTTCTTGTCTGAATTTAAACACTTCAGTGCACTAAAGTAATAACGGGATGTGATTTTGTGTTGACAACTTTTTGGAATATAATGAAAGGAACACAACTCAGGGTAAGAAAGAAATTTAAGAATTTCAGGGCTTAAATGTTAAGCAATCGTTACTACTACATAAGTCTAGTTGTGACATACTTACTTATTTACAATTAGTTTATTAAAATTTCGTTTGTTGTGAGCAGCAAATACTCATTAAAGACAAATTTCAAAAGTTATCAATAAAACACATTTTATATAAAAACCAAATAACCTGATCTAGCCTGACCCAACTGATTTCCGACCTTAACTAATTGTAAAACTGAATAAAGAGCATTATGTTTTTGAGAAACAAAATGATTTATTTACTCCTTATAACTGGGTGCATACAAGCTTTTGTTATTTTTGTGTGGAATTATTTATTTTAAGTTAATCAGTATTCGTCCTTCTGCAGTTATAACCAACAGCACTTCAAAGAGAGATATACAATTGTCCATAAAGACTACAGAACAAACAGAATAGCTCAAAACCCCAACGCCAAAACAAGACACTGTAATTGTCCGAAGCACTTTTCAGTAACAAAGTTACCTTCTTCAGGGACTGAAGACAGTTCACTTATTCCAAAATCTACTTAGGCCTTTTATCAACAGGATATGGGGAACCAGGGTAAGTGATAACATGAAAGAAAGTTAGATTAAATGATCATAAATAAGTGATCATAAGTATTGGTTAAAAAAAGTTTTAAGGAAAGATACGTACATTTTTAAAATAATAATTTTGAGAAGATTTATCTAAGTAAATTACAAACTTTTAACATTTGTGAATGGAAGGAATAACTGATAATCATTTTAATGCATACACTATATATTTTTTTTCTTCTCAAGAGGTAGCTACAATTTTGAAATTCAAATTTCAGTTACATTAAAATTCTAGCAAGTCATAATTTTNAACTACAGCCTTCTTTCTTCAGTATGTCTATCAGGGGCGCAGATTGAATATTTAAAAGCAGAAATAGGCGCAATAATTTAGTTTAACCTGATTTATTTAATGTTATGTTATATAATGAGCAAGTAATAGGCATACAATCCAATACAATACAATACAATAAAATTTATCAAATTCGAGATTATCGTACCATCACGCTAAATTAAATGAGTGCGCTGTAGTCTACAAAAAGATAGAAACGTTATAGTGTCAGTCGAAATTTGTAAGCAACTAATTGTTTATATTTTAATATCCTATTTAAATTTATTTGGTACATAAGCAGTCTAAGAAAATAATTATGATTTCTTATTACTAAACACTGCTGATATAAATTAATGTTATATTTGTATCTTTTTAATTTGCATCGTATTTTTAAAAAAATCTGCCTTTCAAATAGCATGTCAATGAAAAGAATTGATGTTTTAGTTATAAAACCTTTGTAAAAATGGCATGCATCTTTCGTTAGCACAATAATGAAGAAACTAGCTGTGATTTTGAATTATCAAATTAAAATGAAAATTTCCCACTCTTATGCCAACGAAAGGCGCTTGTCAATTTTTTTCACAACGGTTTTATAAGTAAAACTTCGTTACGTTCCTGTATAAGACGAATATTACATTCTGTTTTTTTAGGCTAAATTAATTATATCTGAATACTCTGTCATAATATTTCATTTTATAGGAGCATAAAAGCTCGGGGTGACATGTTTATGAAACATTAGTTTCTCCTTCACTCTGCAAAGTAGCAGTACCTACACTTCTGAGGAAGGCCTGAAGGTGCCTGTTTTTCATTGGGATGGAGACAATGTGTTATTAAAGGAAGGATTTATGACATGAATTGGTAAGTAACAATTAAAAATAGTCCATGAGGTCCTACAAACCTCAATTTCATAGACATTTGTAACTTACTTTCAATAGAAAGATTTTAAACATCGTTTTAGAAATGTCAAAAACATAACAGCTGGATTAATGTACAACTGTCGTTTCCGACGGTGTGAATGTTAGCTTAATACAAGTGATGGAGTATTTATTCTAGTTTACATAACAGCACAAGTAAAATACAACATTATTTTTAGACATTTTGAATTCAGATTTTAATTATTAAACAAAATTAAACAGTATTGCTAATTTATACATGAAATATTACCGTGTTCTGACCATGAAGAAACGATGGAAGAGGAAGAACTATCCTCAGAGGAATCTGAGGAGTCAGACATTGAAACACACGTTCCTTTAAACTATATTTCGTTTTTAGAATAAGACGATGTAAATTAAATTTGTTAAACAAATTTTATTTACAACATCTCCATGTCAACAAAACGGTCACTAGTTTATACATTTACTAAAAGTAAAGAAACAATTGCCTACACAGATTTAAAAATTGCGCGCGTTTTATAAAAAAAAAATTAAACTAATCCATTTTATGACATTAATAAGTAAGTATTCACCTTTTTTCATTTTAATACGATATACAGATTCGATTTGATTGCTATTATAATACATAACTTTGTAATTTTGGTTGAATTCTTACGACTGTAGCGATTGTAACCACTTTCATTGATTATTTGGTAGCGTTCAAGATTGAATGATATAAATAGATGATTATGATTGAATATTTATTAAAAAAGTAATGTCACTTTTAAAATTTGATAAAATTAATTTTTAAATATCCTTACTGGGAAAGAAAACTTATTTGGAGGTGGCTGTGTAAAATGCATACAGATTTATCACCTCATTTGCACACTGACAAGTGCAATGATTTGATAAATCAGTTAAAAGAGTGTCATGAAAATGTAAGATTTTTGTTTATAATAATTTGCATGTAACTAAAAGTTGTAACGATTACAGAATATATTCCGTAAATTTTTTGGATATTGTAATAGTGAAGATAAATTAGTAATTGCTTGCTTGAAAGAAGAAAGATTACAAAGAAGAAATGCAAATTATAAGAAGTCTTTAGAGAGAAAAGCTAGGTTATGGACAACTTTTTCTGAAGAATCCCAAAAAGAACATAAAACTACTTGAAGTAATTAAAAATGGATTTNCAAAGTACACATTATGTCATTTTTTGGTACAAAATAACTACAAATTGTAGTTAATTAGTTACCTAATAACTTTATAAAAGCTTAAAATTCTGAATAATTAACATACATCAAGGTTATTATTAATTCGGACATGGGAGAATTAAACCACAGAAACTGTTTGTTAATATTACTATATCTAATTACTGGAAAAACTTTAATTGCGTGCAATTTTTTTAAAAATAACAATAAGGTAGCTCTAAAATGTTATACTGCAATTAGCTGGTTTCTTAATTTCATTCGTTTAATGTTTATAAATTCAATTTGTCCGTTTGGTCGAATTTTATTATATCCAAAGATGTATATATATCTTTAAGAGTTGTGATCAGGCGATAGAACTCTCACGAAGCAAAAACGCAGATAAATTGAATTCTGTAAAACGGGGATAAAACTAAGCACGCGATTGGTTACAGCGTCGCAGACATCGAATTTAACCCATCTGATTGGCGTTTGTCTACGTCATCAGTGCTTCATGTGGTAGCAATCGCAATTTCGCGACACGCCGGAATCGCGTTTGGTTCATTATAAGTTCATAAAGTTTCGAGATAGAAGGACGTGTTTTCGCGTCTCATAAATTCAACTTATCGAGTTAATTTTTTCGCAAAATTAGTCTTAATTTGTTCTACGTCTGCAAGGTTAGATTGATTGATTCATATTCTATTATTATTTTTCGCATTTGCCCGCAGCATAAATTAAATTGACAAAATTGTTAAAGGTTATGACTTGAAACAGACACAAGGTGGCTACGTCGCCAATTTAAAGTTTTGTAATTTTATTCGTTTTTGACGGTAGTTTTTCATTAGGTGTTTTTGCTTTGTTTCATGTTTCATTTATTTAATACGAGAGTTTAATTATTTTTCTGTACATTTCCCGCATATATTTTGACTTTCATTCTTCGTTACGTTCCTGTATAAGACGAATATTACATTCTGTTTTTTTTTTTTGNTTATTTATGGTTTGTTATTAAATTTATAAAGTATCTAAAACAATTATATTACACTAATAACTACATAATTAACCAGTAACGGTCAGTAATCTAATTTAAATTGATTATATCTGAATACTTTTTCATAAGATTTCCTTTTACAGGAACATTGGAAGAACTTCGGATACCATTAAATTATGAAATTATGGAACATTGGTTGTATTAGTCCTCATTTGCCCCAGAAAGTAGCTGTAGTCATGGTCCTAAAGAAAGTACGAAAATACCTTTTTTCCATTGGGAATGAAAACAGTGTGCTGAGAAAATGGATTTATGACAATGAACTGGTATGTAACAGTATTAATTAAAGATGGTGAATGGGCCGTTGTTTGTTGGGTTATTTTCCCGACGTTTCATCTACAACTGTGGTGGACATTTTCAAGGGCGATGTCGAAGTCTTCTCTGATGCGAAACGGTGACAAGTGCGCTGGGTGGACCAAGCGCGGTCGTATTTATATCGTTCTGGAGGGTGCCTCTTCTTTTTTATTGAAATTGTTCTTGTGTTTATATATTTCAATGGCTTCTCTGTTCAGGCGGGAATGGTAATGGTTGTTCTTGGCCGTCCTCGAACAGTATTACGTGTTGATCTTCTGAGAGGGCATGTTTTACTACTGGCAATTTTTGTGTGTCTTAGGCGGCATTGGCTTTTGTGTTCTTTTATCCTGGTCTTTATAATCCTTTTCGTAGTTTCATTGTAAACCTGAGCTACAAAAAGGAGTATATCGTTATGCTAGTTCGAAACAATTTAATTTGAAAGTGGTAGATTTCAATGAATTTGAAAGGAACATGTTTGCATTAATAGTGGAATTGTATCCTGGTCTTTATACTTCTTTTCCTAGTTACAATGTAAATCTGAACTACAGAAAGGAGTATAAAGACCAGGTTAAAGGAACACGAAAGTCAATGCCGCCTAGGACACACAGAAAAATCACCAGTAGCAGAACATGCCCTCTTAGATGAACACGTAATACAGGTCGAGGACGTTTAAGTTTTGGCAAAGAACAACCATTATCATTCCTGTCTGTATAGAGAAGCCATTAAAATTTATAAACACAATAACAATTTAAATAAAAAAGAAGAGGGCACCCTCCAGAACGATATAAATACGAGCGCACTTGTCACCGTTTTGCATCAGAGAAGACTTCGACATCGCCCTTGAAAATGTCCACCACCGAGAAAACAATCCAACAGACCACGGTCCATCAGCCGGGACAACAACTCATCTATTATTCGACACCGGTCGTGAAAGCCTACAATCAACAGTAAATGATAGCTTCAAATAACTTCAATTTGTTAGACATTTGTAACTTGCTTCAATAGACAACTTTTAAGCAACGTTTCAGAAATGGCAGAAGTAGAATTAATGTGGAACGGATCTTTCCATGAGTGTGCATGTTACTGATTTATACTAATTTAACTTGATTTAAAAATGGTAATGAATTACTTTTTCTTGTCTGTTTTTATATAGATTGTCCCACAAATGAGAATGAATTGCAGTTAATTTTGATGCTACTGAAACAACCGACGCTTTTAACGTCTTCACCGTGCAACATTATGCAGTTTATTTTAGCTGTAACAATGGGAGGCAATTGGAAATTAATTTGGAAACAACAAATTGTCTGCAGTGATATCCTTCCTAGATTTGGCTTGCTCATCACACTGGTAGACTTTAGAATGTCACTTTCTACAATTAATTAAGGTGGGTATACATGACTTCATTAATATTAATTGCTCTTTATTAATCTGTTATGACATTTCATGTAACAATTACTGTTAACAGTATAAATTGAGGTTGTCGTGCAACTATATTTCTTTTGACAGTTTCTGTATTCTACAGAGTAAATTGGTATTTATCGTTCATCTATGGAATTTCTTTTTAACCTTTTTTTATTGTCTGCATCATAATTTAACGTCAGGTTGTTTGACATTTATCTATGTTGTGATTTATGGTTGTAATGTAAAATGGCGTAAAGGTAACGCCTTGTTAATTTGTAATCAACTATTTTACTTGTTTTTTTTGGTGCGTCTTTATTTGTATTAAATGTGTTTCATAATTATATAAGTGTAATTAATATGTCTTTTTGTCCGTTTCTGCAGGTTATACTACAAATGAGAGAGAATTAATGTTCAGTTTTGTCATACTGAAATAGCCAATGTGTACATGGGTGTGGTCTTTGGTGGTTTATATTCTTGATTTGCTGTTTCGTCTTCCCTTTGTAACATTGTGCAGTTAATTTTCAACCCATGAGTGAGAGCAACTGGATATTTGAATTCCACTGAAATAACAAATTGTCTGCAGATTTGATTTGCTCAGCACACTGGCAGACTTTAGAACGCCACCTTCTACAATTAATTAAGGTGAGAATATATGACTTCATTAATATTAATTGCTATTTATTAATCTGTTGACATTTCATTTAACAATTATTGTTAACAGTATAAATTGAGGTTGTCATGCAACCATATTTCTTTTGACAGTTTCAGTTTAAAAGGGATAATTAATTTTAATTACCTTTTCTTGCCTGTTTCTGTATAGATTGTCCCACAAATGACGAGGGATTGTAGTTAATTTTGATGCTACTGAAGCAACCGATGCTTTTGATGTCTTCACCTTGCAACATTATGCAGTTAACTTTAGCCATAACAACGGGAGGCAGTTGGAAATTAATTAATTTGGAAGCGACTGGAACAACAAATTGTTTGCAATGATCCCTCCTAGATTTGGCTTGTTCATCACACTGGTAGACTTTAGAACGCCACTTTCTACAATTAATTAAAGTGAGAATACATGACTTCATTAATATTAATTGCTCTTTATTAATCTGTTATGAAATTTCTGTTAACAATTACCTATTGTAAACAGTATAAATTGAGGTTATTGTGCTTCACATCTCTTGACAGTTTTTATTTCCCACGGAGTAAATTGACATTTATCTTGATCCATATATGTAGTTTATCTATCTATGGAGTTTATTTATCTATGTAGTTTAAATTTCTATGGGGTTTATCTATGTATGGATTTTGTATTTAACCTTTTTTTATTGCCTGAATCGTAAATTGACGTCGTGTTATTTTACATTTATCTATGTCGTGATCTATGGTTGTGATGTAAAATGGCGTTGAAGTAACGCTTGTTATTTTATAATTCAACTAATTTTACTTGCTTTTTGATGCGTTTTTATTTATGTTTCTTAATTAGTGTAATTAATATATGTTTTTATCCGTTTCTGTAGGTTATACAACAAATGAGAGAGAATTAATGTTCAGTTTTGTCATACTGAAATAGCCAATGTGTACGTGGGTGTGGTCTTTCGTGGTTTATATTCTTGATTTGCTGTTTCGTCTTCACCTTGTAACATCATGCAGTTAATTTTCAACCCATGAGTGAGAGCAACTGGATATTTATTTGAATTCCACTGAAATAACAATTTCTCTGCTACGGTGTTCCTCCTGGAGTTAGTTTGCTTTTCACACCTGTAAACTAACTTTGGAACGTTACGTTCTACATTTAATTAAGGTGAGAATACTTGATATAATTAATTTTAATCGCTTTTTATTAATCTGTTTGCCACCGTATCTGTTTCAGATCGACGTTGGAGAAGACAAAGATGACCCCGTAGTTGAAATAGTTCTTTATCTTGCATGCTCTATCTAGTAGAATTCATTAAGTTGATTTTATTCAAATTAATTTTTTATTTTGCATGCTTATTTTTGTTCATTTTNTACTACATACAAAAAAAATAAAAGAATCTGCAATCAACAATGACTTCAAACAAAAGGAACAAAAATAAGCATGCAAAATAAAAATTAAATCAAATTAACTACAAAAAAAACATGCAAAATTAAAAATGAATTTGAATAAAATCAACTTAATGAATTCTACTAGATAGAGCATGCAAGATAAAGAACTATTTCAACTACGGGGTCATCTTTGTCTTCTCCAACGTCGATCTGAAACAGATACGGTGGCAAACAGATTAATAAAAAGCGATTAAAATTAATTATATCAAGTATTCTCACCTTAATTAAATGTAGAACGTAACGTTCCAAAGTTAGTTTACAGGTGTGAAAAGCAAACTAACTCCAGGAGGAACACCGTAGCAGAGAAATTGTTATTTCAGTGGAATTCAAATAAATATCCAGTTGCTCTCACTCATGGGTTGAAAATTAACTGCATGATGTTACAAGGTGAAGACGAAACAGCAAATCAAGAATATAAACCACGAAAGACCACACCCACGTACACATTGGCTATTTCAGTATGACAAAACTGAACATTAATTCTCTCTCATTTGTTGTATAACCTACAGAAACGGATAAAAACATATATTAATTACACTAATTAAGAAACATAAATAAAAACGCATCAAAAAGCAAGTAAAATTAGTTGAATTATAAAATAACAAGCGTTACTTCAACGCCATTTTACATCACAACCATAGATCACGACATAGATAAATGTAAAATAACACGACGTCAATTTACGATTCAGGCAATAAAAAAAGGTTAAATACAAAATCCATACATAGATAAACCCCATAGAAATTTAAACTACATAGATAAATAAACTCCATAGATAGATAAACTACATATATGGATCAAGATAAATGTCAATTTACTCCGTGGGAAATAAAAACTGTCAAGAGATGTGAAGCACAATAACCTCAATTTATACTGTTTACAATAGGTAATTGTTAACAGAAATTTCATAACAGATTAATAAAGAGCAATTAATATTAATGAAGTCATGTATTCTCACTTTAATTAATTGTAGAAAGTGGCGTTCTAAAGTCTACCAGTGTGATGAACAAGCCAAATCTAGGAGGGATCATTGCAAACAATTTGTTGTTCCAGTCGCTTCCAAATTAATTAATTTCCAACTGCCTCCCGTTGTTATGGCTAAAGTTAACTGCATAATGTTGCAAGGTGAAGACATCAAAAGCATCGGTTGCTTCAGTAGCATCAAAATTAACTACAATCCCTCGTCATTTGTGGGACAATCTATACAGAAACAGGCAAGAAAAGGTAATTAAAATTAATTATCCCTTTTAAACTGAAACTGTCAAAAGAAATATGGTTGCATGACAACCTCAATTTATACTGTTAACAATAATTGTTAAATGAAATGTCAACAGATTAATAAATAGCAATTAATATTAATGAAGTCATATATTCTCACCTTAATTAATTGTAGAAGGTGGCGTTCTAAAGTCTGCCAGTGTGCTGAGCAAATCAAATCTGCAGACAATTTGTTATTTCAGTGGAATTCAAATATCCAGTTGCTCTCACTCATGGGTTGAAAATTAACTGCACAATGTTACAAAGGGAAGACGAAACAGCAAATCAAGAATATAAACCACCAAAGACCACACCCATGTACACATTGGCTATTTCAGTATGACAAAACTGAACATTAATTCTCTCTCATTTGTAGTATAACCTGCAGAAACGGACAAAAAGACATATTAATTACACTTATATAATTATGAAACACATTTAATACAAATAAAGACGCACCAAAAAAAACAAGTAAAATAGTTGATTACAAATTAACAAGGCGTTACCTTTACGCCATTTTACATTACAACCATAAATCACAACATAGATAAATGTCAAACAACCTGACGTTAAATTATGATGCAGACAATAAAAAAAGGTTAAAAAGAAATTCCATAGATGAACGATAAATACCAATTTACTCTGTAGAATACAGAAACTGTCAAAAGAAATATAGTTGCACGACAACCTCAATTTATACTGTTAACAGTAATTGTTACATGAAATGTCATAACAGATTAATAAAGAGCAATTAATATTAATGAAGTCATGTATACCCACCTTAATTAATTGTAGAAAGTGACATTCTAAAGTCTACCAGTGTGATGAGCAAGCCAAATCTAGGAAGGATATCACTGCAGACAATTTGTTGTTTC